TAAACCTAGCACAACAGCAGGTCCTCTCTATCAACCACTGCACTCTCTCCTCCCTCATAAATCTCACGCTCTCTCTCTTTTTCTCTCCCATTTTTCTAACCTGCAACTCTCCCTTTCTACTCATTCTTTCCCAATCTCTCTCTCTCTCTCTCTCTCTCTCTCTCTCTCTCACCTAATTCCATGGTCTCTCTTAATCTCCTCAAGGAAACTCCATTTTTCTTTTTGGAGGAAACCTAATTCCATGGTCTCTCTTTCTCTCCTCATTTCTTCAAATGAAACTCCATTTTTCTTTTTGGAGGAAAGATTAACTTTCTTCAAATGCAACTCTCGCTCTCTCTTTGTCTACCCATTTCTCTCCCAATTTTCCTCATCTGCAATATTCTATTACAAAGTGGTTACTTTACCCTTTCTCCCCTCCATTAAAGCATCATACCCTCCACAGATGCACCAAACTTCCATCTCTATGTGAAGAGGACCAGACACCTCACCAAATCTTCAACAGCAATATTACCCTGCCATTTTTGCTTTAAGAAAGCCCCCATGTTTCCTCTCAAGAATATGCAAGAATTCATAGTGAAATTGCAAAAGTTAATCAAAAAGGGCCCATAATTTTTTGTCATCATCATCATCATAGCCTTTTCTTAGCTATTTGGGGTCGGCTACACGAATCCCGGCCTGCCATTCTCCTCTATCAAGAGTCATACCCTAAGTGAGGGCATAAGTCCCCATATATTCTCTCACTACTTCCAACCATGCCCTTTTGGGCCTACCTCTTGTGTTTTTTGAGCCTTCTACTTGAACCAACTCGCACCTCCTAACATTTTACTTATTATTTCCTTACCCTATTTACAATCATAAAGCTATGGACAATTTGCGCAAGACCAGCCACAATTTCCTCCCTATGACTAGTGCAGACCTGACTACTAAGGGTAGCACTATGTACTTACCACCAAAAGAGAGACCCAAAATCCTTAGCGGTTTCACACTAAACCACAGTCCTCAAGAACTCTAATCCTACTTGATTAAAAAGAGAACGCCTGGGAAATGCCAACATGACAGAAACCACAAACCAACAAGTCCAAGAACAATTGTCCCCTTCCAAAGTTTCTAAGACAACAGCATGACATTGTATTGGGACTCAGCATTTAATTCCTCATAAGTAAATGGTTCTATGTGACCTAAATAAAAAACACTAATGATATAAAAATCACTGATCTGGATCAAGAATTGTTGAATGATTGGCAATGGGACAGGCCTAGGCATGGCCGTTCATGGCCAAGGCCGACCCAGGTCCCTATAGGGCCGGGCATTGCCCAGCCCGGCCCAGGTACCTATAGGGCCAGCCATAGCCCAGCCCAATCCGGACTAAGCCAATGGGGTCTTGGTCCAAGTCCAGAACTCTGCTTGGGTCCAAGCCGGGCTGAACGATTCAAAGAAAGAAAAATTGGAAAGAAAAAAACAAAGGGACGGGGGGGAGGAAAGTATCGATTTGGGTTGGCCCTGCTACGGCCCTAGCCCTAGAGAGGCCTGTCCCGTCCCTAGGCCAACATTTTGTGACCCAAGGCATAGCTTTTTAGGGCCGAGACACTCGCCCATTGCTAGCCCTAGTTGAAAACCATGCTGATTCTTGGTCAGAATCAGCAATTCAATCAGTATATGATATATATGTAAATGTCATCATAGAATATATTATATGTAAAATGTCATTATACAATATATAACATGTAATTGTCATAACATAAAGCATTATTAGAAAAACAAATGTCATAACATAAAGCTACAAGTGCGCAGCTGGATAGCATGCATGTTTGTGGATCAAGATGTCGAAGATTTGAACGTCCTTGGAGTTAGCATTTTGTGTTTTTTTAATGTTAAAAAAAACATATTATACACACAAGACAGGGAGTTCGATCCTCAGACCTTGAAGCGAGGGATGTAAGGTCTAGCTACGCGAGCTACAGAAGCTTCTGTGTTATGGAATAAATGTATTAAATTATATATTTGCTTGATTGTTTTTTTCATTCTGTTTCCTTTTATTGACTTTGCTAGATTAGCCGATCGGGGTCCAT